CAGCAACCCATGCTTGCCGTAATAGGTGACTATGCTTGTCGTAAAAGGAGACTAACGGGATCGGGTGGTCAGGCTCACTGACTTTGTTGATGCATGTCATCGATCCCAATTGCGTGGATCAATGCTCATGATATTAATCACTGAATTGTCTGGTCCAGACTCGATTATTTACAGACCGCCGTAGTATAGCTGGAATATTGCTGAGTGTGGCGTTAAACAACAAACCAACCAACCAACCAAAATAATCAAAACTTCCCAGATTGTGCATGGCAGCTGTTGTATTTTGTATGCATGGGAGCCATGATGGGGAAAACATACATATAATAACAGTTTTGCACTATAACAGTTTTTCACAATAAGTATCCATGAGAAAGCATACCTATACAAGACTCAAAAAAAGATTAGAACATTAAGAGATCATAAAAAGCTATCATATTAAGTCAAATAGCAAGAATCATGACCTGGGAGAGAGAAAACATAACATTTTATGAAGATTTCAAGTAGATGAAAATATTTGTGCCTAATTTCAAGATTTCAAGTTTGTTAAGCAATAATGGTTAGTATAAAAGACTCCTTAAATGTTTATGTGACAACATCTTACCTTAAAAGCATATTGCTTCGCCATTTTGATAAAATATCCGTAGTTGACTGCAGCAGCTAAATACATCATCTGGGCCTTCCTCCTTCCATTGACTGTTGAGAATGTTGCATTGCATTCTGGGTGTCGCAGCATCAAAGTCTTGTGTGAATTCCAGCAGCACCCTACTGGGTGTTTTATTGGGACTGTTTATTGGAATGACATTGGTTTTTTACATGTCTTGACACATTTGTTTAGAGAGACACATATGACCTGAGATTAATTGATGTTACAGGTTGTGATTCCCATTGATCGTATTTAGGAGATAAACCTACTGTGTTTTGAAATTTGATGTAGTCCCACTGTAGAATACATACCTCTTTATTTTAATTTTGAATTGTGGGCTTTAGCTGACAATCTTGTGTTTACATTCTCCGTAACGAGTTATAGAATGAAGCAAGGTGACAACCCCGATCTATGATGTGGTTCAACATTAACATGTGGATTATCTGGGATTGATCGAGCCTGCTGGTACATCCATATGATTACCAATGTGACTGAGTATGACTGAACAGCCACTTTTTAGGCTGCAGACGAGCCAGATATTTTGAAACAAGGAATCTGCATGGTGTGACCTGTCAATTTCAAGATTTCACGGATCCAAAGCCAAATAGTGACAGAACTTAGACATTTGTGTTCCAGACATAGTGGATCGTGTATGATTTTCTTAATTGTGCTGTTCTGAAATGAATTTTATCAAGTTTGATAAGCTGTCACTTCAGCTGGGACATTGTTTTCGTGGACTTTCTAAGGGGAGTTTTTTCTGATGGACTTTCAAATCCCCTCCTGCCAAAATCTAACAGTGGTGGTTGACGGAGATGGCAACGAATATCGATCAGAAAAAGGTTTGTAAACATGTTGTCATGAATAAAGTTTTTCAAACAATTTTTATAATGTTATATTTTACTTTCATTGTCAGTTGTTTCAATGAGGAAATAGCTTAAATTGTTCCAATTCTGGTCACCATAGAACATTTCTCTAACAGTTTCATAAACGTTTCATTTGTATGCAAAAGATATGCCTTCGTTGAATGTTTTAATGTCATCATCGAAGCAGTCAGGGTTGCGGCTTAGAACACCCAAACATCTGATATCAAACTACCGTATTTCCTCTATTTGACGCCATCTATTAATTTCGCTAGAGCCCTTGACTCGGCGTGTATTAGAGACCTGGCTGGTATAAGAGACCCAGCATGTATTAGAGGAAGTAAAGATTCGTTTTACAGTTTTGTCTGATCGATAGTCTTACTTCGCAAAGTGCATCAAATCATGTGAGCACCTTGATTAAAAACATGAAAAGATTTGGAAAATATCTGTTGACGGTACACATGCTTTGCAAAGCCTGCAATCGACTGAATGTTGATTTCTTTACACGATTTTGACTGGACTCATTAGTCTAGCCGAAATGTAACTCCATAATTCCAGCCTCGTTCAACAAGGGTGAAAACTGGACTTTTATAGTCAGTTAATTCACTTGTTACTGAACAAGAAAGAATTTGGAAAAAAGCAAACTACAAAATGTTGATGTTTGTTTTGACATTTTAACTTTTTCATGTATAACTTTCATGGTATTCTTATTGAACATAAATGATAGGTAAGCGTTAAGATTATAATGCAATTTTATCATTAGATTAACTACGTTAGTTCTTTGATTATTATCACATTTATTAGAATCGGTCATTTCTCCCGAATAGTCTTTCTCCTACAGTAATTAATAAGAAACATGATTTTTATTTCGTTATATAGGGGGCACGGGTGGCCCAGTCTAAGGTGACGCAATTCGCTGTGCAGAGTTGCGTCCCTTGGACACGCCAGAAACTTATGATTGTGGGTTCAAATCCTGGTTCGCCCCGATTATGTTTCTAGGTTTGTCAGCACCATACCCATGCTCGTGGGTTTCACCGAAGTTGTAAACGTCTGAGACCTGCATCACTTCGGGCTTTCCTCCAACATTAAGCTGACATGCCGTGATATAACTGGAATACTGTTAAAAGCGGCCTTAAACCAAACTCACTGACTCATTCACTCTCGTTATATATATACTCTTCAAAAAAAGAAATGCACAGGTAGTATGCAGTTCATTGAACCTGGCTACACAAAAAATCCGGTATATAAATTGGATATATGTTATTGCAAAATGTAGGTGGCCTAATATTTGACAAATGGTGCGTCAAAACGCAGCCATTGTCGGTTTGCAATGTCTTAAATGGCATTGTTTTCACACATGTTCACAACTGTCATGGAGGAACACAGTAAAGCAAAATGCACGTCCAAGCTATGACGTATCTCGTGGTAGTGGCTATAAAAAGGCAAGCATAAGCCAATAACTTGTCATTCAATTGTCAACATTTTTCAAGTTAAAAAATGCCGAGACTCATCGTTGCCGATCGGAACATTGCCATAGGACATATCCAAAGAGGGGAATCGCAGTCATCTGTTGCACGCCACTTCAACATCCACCACAGCAACATTTGCCACCTTTGGGACCGATACACACAGTTCAATTCAACTGCACCCCTGCACAGGATGTCTACATTTGACTGTTCCACCTGCATTGTGTATGTGAATTCGACAAATTCAGTGGCAGTAGTGTAATATCGTACACCAAGAGATCTGACTTGATTGTGGTTCAGGGAAATTAGACAGCAAATCGCTTCATGAATCAAATTCTTCATCCTCACCTTCTTCCAATCATCGACCGCCAGAGGATACTGTTTCAACAGGACAACGCTCCACTGCACACAGCTCGTGTCACGGTAGAGTACCTTCATAATGCCAACATCAACATCTACCGGCACATAAACCAGAAGTTGATATCTTTTGCGTTGTGACTGACAGTGAGCCAGTTAAATTGGCACCAATTACGTCATAATGTAAGGCCTCATAACGGCATAACATTATCACACTTATTTTGAGCTTCCAACTTTCAATGTGAGAAAAATAAAAGTATATTTGCAAACACTGATATTAACTAATTCTAAAATTGTGTTTTGTTTCAAATAAGTAAGAAAGTGATTTGTGTGTGTGTGTACACTTCCCCTTTGAGTAGCTTTTCCAATATGGCTGCCATCATGGCCAACTTGGAAATGAGATTCAAAACTTTTGAACAAATTCAGGTGTCATCATTGCTGAGAACAATCATGTGAAGTTTCAGTTTCATTGGTCCAGTGGTTATCATAGCGGCCATATTTAAAACAGTTCAGAATTCTGTAAGCAGTTATAAGAGTTCCACAGCTGGGATAATTCATACAGTGTTTACAAAGCTCGACAACCTGACAGATGGACGGAGAACAGGCAATGCACCACTTCAGTGAAGTGAGCTAAAAGTGCAAATTCAAACATAGCGAATTTGTGTAAACGTTCATTTGCATTTTGGCTTTTGATTCAATCAAAATAACAAAATCAACCTCATTCCATATTGTTTACATTTGCAATAATATAGGACATTGCATAATTTACATTGGAATGTTGCAATTGGCAGTATTTACAAAGACTAATCTAAAATTTAAAACACTGCTTGGATGCCTTCAGAATAAGTACATAGGTCTCACTTTATTTAGCCATTATGTAAATTCAGTGATGGTCGATGCATTTTTATAGTTATTTTCAAAGAATTACCCAACAATTTTCCAATTGTTTTCCCCAGAAGAGTACTTGACCATATTCTGCTATGTAAACACATGATGAAGATAGTAGCAGTATGAGGTGACATATATATCTGAAATAATGTGTCACAAAATTGGTATTATGAGAATGTGTTTGTATTTGGGGAAAAAACATTTTGACCTGCTCTAACCCTACAAATCATAACATACCATGTATACCCAGTACTGGCATTTCAATCAATTTCAAATTAAAATATTTTGGCATCATACTTCAAGAGGACAATGGTTATGCAGCAGCCAGTTATGATGTAATCAATGTGCGATATGTTACAAAGTAACAACTATTTTCCTTGTTGGCACAGTTGGAGACATTCTGATCATCACACAGTCATGGCCATGGTAAATAATGGGTTTTTCAATACTGTCAGGATATAAAAAAAATAGATAAGAGTTTAAGTGATCTGTATTATGTTTGCAAATAGTTTATCTTAAGTACCTATCCATTTATGATACTAATTATTGACATACATATTCCAATTTCATCATGCTTTTGTTTAATTAAGTATCTATGACACATACAAATCAATATCAGATATGAAAACCCTAATGACCCAGCAATAATTAAATTATTCTGAGCTGGACATTTCACAAAAAGCACTGACTAGCACTAACTTGTATTTAAGGCAGGCTCAAATACAGATGCACAAATAAAATGAAACCCTAAAATCTAAATATCCTTCTATATGGTACAGTACAAACCTTTGCTAGATGAAGGCGGCCATTGGAAGCTCTCACAGTCAGGAGAATGTGATTTGTGAAAAGGAATATCTGACGAACTACCTCCTTTTTTGATTCCTTAAATGAAGAGCTAAAAGACCCCAGTCTTCCACGACTTGATTTTCCTCTCTCATGAATCACCTGCAGCAAAGGCCCTGGAAACCACAAAGAATAGACATACTTACATTATTCCTCTCTACAGCACTAACACAATGGTTTGTTGTGCTTTACTGCCCTCTGTGAGAAAGACGCAGCATTAAACATGTCTTCCCTCGCATAAACATAAATGAAAACTTCTTCCGATTAGATTTCTACAGAAATTAAATCACATGCCAGTCAAAGTTATGATTATTCCATCATTAAATGTCAATTCTTAAATGCTTAAAGATATTTCATTACAGTGGCAGACACATGTGTTCTAATTTTACGTGTACATAAACTGCACCAGAAAAAAATCAATATATATAGCTTGAGCTATTGGTGAAGCAATATCACTAAAACAGCAATAAACATATTCGGGTTCACATACCAGTAATGAAACAAGTGATAGATTAACCATTCTAAATCAAACATCAAGTCGACTATTGTAATTTCCGCTCTTATAGCATCAGAAAATTATTGTTGAAGATGTCTGTGTTGCATGTCAAGTGTTAATGCTATGCAAGAAGGAAGAAAATGCTACATCCTGGCTTTTGGAGAAGATGCTGTAGCTTGTGCTAGATTTACCTCAGCACAGACCTAATCTACAGCCAGGGAATACGCACCTACCCTTTTACATCCCAACATTATGTCACAGACATCTACAGACTAAACCCACTGACCACAGCCTTGAACATCTCCCTGCCTGGTGATAACCAAGGTTGTATTGATCTAGCTGCTTCAGGTTTACCAGATCATTTTTCAAAGCCGCATTGACTAGGCTACAAATTTTGAGGAATAAGAGTGATATGGAGGTAGCCTGGTCCTCAAGCCAAAATCAATAGCAGAGCATTGAGTGAATCCATACTGTGGCCAGCAAGCGAGGCAGGTTGGACGGCAGGCAGTGATACAGGTATCGGTTTCTGCCACTAAAGTACCAATTATATCAGCTTGGACCACCTAAAATGTCTGTCCATTTTGTAATCCCATATGATGGAAAACTATGATGTGCATGACACCCTCAGACATTTTTAAGAGTTTTTAAATAACATAAAATTCATTTTGTTTGAATCATACAGGATTTATAACTGAGAAACCATTATATATGAACATGTTCCTGAACTATTTCACTGTTAGACTAAAATACACATCAAGGTGTTCATTTCATATGTATGTAGGCCAGAAGCCCACTTACATAACAAATACAGTAAAGTATGTGCATTTTTTGTACATAATAATATATAAAAGGAATTAGGATGCTTTCTCGTATCAATAGAAGATGTACATATATCTTTTAGATAAATTTATTTTTGGATAACAAAAGTGTTTTGAATTTATCATATTGGGATGATGGCTGTATGCTCATGCGTTAGAGAGATAACAGTCTTAAATTATTACAGCATACACATTATGATAAGAAATGATATTCATCTTGTATAACAAGATTACAGAACGGATAATTTGCAGTGTCAAATCAAAGTTTAACCATCTCCCCCATTCATAAAAGTAACAGACCAGATCTAAAATGTTACAAAATTTTCTCTCAGTTAAAAGATTTAGAGATATATCAGGTTTCAATAGTCTCTGGAATTCTTTTATGCACACAATATCATGAGCTACTTTCTGAGTACTGTTCAAACTCTTGAAGAAGATATTGATAGCTACATTCCTACATGCTCTGATCCAGACAAATTTAAAACTGTGCTCAACAAATGACATAGTAGAGAAGCATAAGTGTTATAAAAGAGATTTTTATGTTTCACAAGCATATTGTGTACCTTTTAGGCAATTCATGCATTTCAATAAGTTTCAACTAATATTTTAAAGCTCGGCACATATAATTCCACATTCACCATAAACTATAGCATTAGTTGTCTGGAGACCTAGGTATAAATTACAATCAAATGCAATTCTATTTTTTTCAAATATTTATACACCCCAAATCCCTAAGTTACATAGAAGTATGGGTTGTATTTGGTTGAAAAATACTTTAAGGCAAACATGAGGTTTGACCAAGCCTGCTCCATGATGTGCTCAACCACAATCAAAATTGATTACAATGATATGGGAAGGGTGGGGGTATTGGGTCCTCAAAGAGGCAGGGATGGACCTAAACCAGTATATTATTTTCAAATAAGAAAATCATAAATATGAACATTATTTTATTAGTTTTATTGAAAAAATATATATAAAATATAGTATATTATGAAAATAAAGGTATAAATTTTGTTTAAATTATGCAAAGGGAGATAATTTGAAAAACAAGAGTAGAACAGTGGAGACCGTTGGCTGTCAGTGAGGTAAGATGCATGGATAGCCGCTCTTGCTGTTTGGCTCACATGGAGCTAGGCATTGTTACATTTCTATCTTTCGGAAATAAATAGATAAATAATTTCACTTAGGTTTTGGTCAGGTTAAGATATTGGCATATTTCTTTGCTTGGTGAACTGCTGTTGCACGGACATCTCGCCCAATGCGTCAAGTCTCAGTTTTCGCTTGGTCGCGTTACGGCGAACTCGTCGGCGGTCGTCAATATGGATAATGATATACACAGGCAAGTGGATGATGATATCCTTAATACATTTTAGGAAACATCTACCAATGCAGAATTCGCAGATACTTACATTACAATGGTGTCCAAAAATCGCAAACACAATGATGTGTCTCAGAAATAAAAATTGTGCCAGTGAAATCTGTAGTGATATTTTCACCAGTTGTCCCAGACTTAGCCTTAAAAATTTGAGCGCACTTTCTTTAGCTCGTGACATTTAAAAAACTATTGGTGATGGTTAAAAAACTGCAAAAATGAGATCTGGCGATTTACTGCAAATCTATGAGGCCTTGTCCTTAACATCAATTGGTGACATCCGATTCAAGGGTAGTGTCCCAAAAATCCTGAGTCAAAGCAAGAGAGTCATTTACAATGTTTACTATGATGTGAACATAGGGGAAATAGTTGATCAACTAAAAGGTCAAAAGGTCATTGAAGCAATGTGTTTACTGTATGGGAGGGAAAAAGAAATTACCACTTCTGTTCTTGCTGACATTTACAACCCCTTATCTTCCCAAAAGAGTCAAAATGTACTTTCAATCATTCCGGGTGCTGCAATTGTCAATTGTCAACAATTCAGGCACATTTCATCTCAATGCAAAAGTAAGACTCCTGTGTGCACAAGATGTGCTGGGGCTCAAAAGGTTGATGATTGTGACACTGAGGCAAATTTCAAACTGTCGAAATTGTGGAGGTGATCACAGTGCAAATATGACAGGTAGCAGTATCTGTCCAAAGAGTAGAAAAGAAGGCGTTCTATGCCAAAGCTGCTCGATTTGTCAAGGTCAATCATTCATCCTCCTATGCATCCACTGTGACTAGCCATGTTTTTTTTTGCATCAGTAAACAAGACAACAGCCATTGTTCACACATGTGCACCAAAACCACCCTCTGCAGGAAACGCTGTCTGTGGTTGTTCTTGCAACTGCCCTGTACATGGTTCAAATGTAGATGAAGTACAACAAGTATTTGTCACAGAGTGACGAAATATCCCCCGCCTGTACACCATAGTACCAAATATGAAGACAATCCAGCGATTAGTTCTTGAGATATTGTGGCAACACCGTTTTCCAACTCCAAAAACAGATTTGCCTGCTGTGACCTTGAAAATTGGGTCAAGGTCACCAAATCTGACAGGTGTATGCAGTGTCTGTATATACACTATAGTTCCAAATATGAAGACAATCCAGCGATTAGTTCTTGAGATATCGCGGCAACACCGTTTTCTAACTCCAAAAGCAGATTTGCCTGCTGTGACCTTGACAATGGGGTCAAGGTCACCAAAACCGACTGGTGTCTGCGGTGTCTGTATATACACTATAGTTCCAAATATGAAGACAATCCAGCGATTAGTTCTTGAGATATCGCGGCAACACCGTTTTCCAACTCCAAAAGCAGATTTGCCTGCTGTGACCTTGACAATGGGGTCAAGGTAACCAAAACCGACTGGTGTCTGCGGTGTCTGTATATACACTATAGTTCCAAATATGAAGACAATCCAGTGTTTAGTTCTTGAGATATCGCGGCAACACCGTTTTCCAACTCCAAAAGCAGATTTGTCTGCTGTGACCTTTAAAATGGGATCAAGGTCACCAAAACCGACTGGTGTCTGCGGAGTCTGTATATACACCATAGTTCCAAATATGAAGACAATCCAGTGTTTAGTTCTTGAGATATCGCGGCAACACCGTTTTCCAACTCTAAAAGCAGATTTGTCTGCTGTGACCTTGAAAATGGGATCAAGGTCACCAAAACCGACTGGTGTCTGCGGAGTCTGTATATACACCATAGTTCCAAATATGAAGACAATCCAGTGTTTAGTTCTTGAGATATCGCGGCAACACCGTTTTCCAACTCTAAAAGCAGATTTGTCTGCTGTGACCTTGAAAATGGGATCAAGGTCACCAAAACCGACTGGTGTCTGCGGAGTCTGTATATACACCATAGTTCCAAATATGAAGACAATCCAGTGTTTAGTTCTTGAGATATCGCGGCAACACCGTTTTCCAACTCTAAAAGCAGATTTGTCTGCTGTGACCTTGAAAATGGGATCAAGGTCACCAAAACCGACTGGTGTCTGCGGAGTCTGTATATACACCATAGTTCCAAATATGAAGACAATCCAGTGTTTAGTTCTTGAGATATCGCGGCAACAAACAGGTGGGACGTACGGACGGACGTACGGACGGTCGTGAATACTATATCCCCCGCTTCGTGCTTTCGCGCGGCGGGGGATAATCAACTGAATCAGCACCAATTGAGGCCATTACTTTGACCCCATCTCCCATTCAAGGTAGTTCCCCTCAAAATGTCTTGACCTTCCTGTTAGAAGTCATTGCTAGTTGTGTCAACATAACTAGCAAAGAAGAGCAAATAGATCGCATGGTTTATGCTTCAAAACCCATTCATTTCTTGATGTGTCAAGAGATATCTTGAATAATTTGCATGTTGATAATGATAACGTCG